CCCCCCCTTTCTCGTTTGCATTTCCTGAAGTCCATCCTGAAGTGAAGTGACAGGTAATTACACAGCTTTGGCCAACTACGCCATTCCCCTGGTTTACTGCAGGAGCGTAAGGGTTTTGGCTGAACCCCATTGGGCATCCACCGAGCTCTAGGCTCCTGCACAGGTTGCCTTCTAGACGATCCTGCACTGCTTGAGGGTACTTGTGTAGGAAAATGGAGGGAGGAGGAAGAGCCACATACAGGCAATGCCGGCATTGTGTGAGACAATAATGTATTGTAACCTTCTTGAGGAATGTATTGTAACGGCAGTGTAAGCAAGTATTCAATCATAGGTATTTGCCATTACAGGGGGAACCAGGCTTACTTGGACCACCTGGTCAGACAGGACCTCCCGGGCCCATGGTAAGTGTACACAGAGATAAAGTAAAACCTTGAAAACACAATTTTTTAACTGCTTTATTATTATTATTATTACTCTCTCCCCTGGCTGTCTCTCCTCACTCTCTCTCTCCTGGCTGTCTCTCCTCACTCTCTCTCTCCTGGCTGTCTCTCCTCACTGTCTCTCCTGGCTGTCCCTCCTCACTCTCTCTCCTGGCTGTCTCTCCTCACTGTCTCTCCTGGGTGTCCCTCCTCACTGTCTCTCCTGGCTGTCTCTCCTCACTCTCTCTCCTGTCTGCCTCTCCTCAATCTCTCTCCTGGCTCTCTCTCCTCAATCTCTCTCTTGGCTGTCTCTCCTGACTGTCTCTCCTCGCTGTCTCTCCTGGCTGTCCCTCCTCCCTCTCTCTCCTGTCTGCCTCTCCTCAATCTCTCTCCTGGCTCTCTCTCCTCAATCTCTCTCTTGGCTGTCTCTCCTCAATCTCTCTCCTGGCTGTCTTTCCTCACTCTCTCTTCTGGCTGTCTCTCCTCACTCTCTCTCCTGGCTGTCCCTCCTCACTGTCTCTCCTGGCTGTCCCTCCTCACTCTCTCTCCTGGCTGTCTCTCCTCAATCTCTCTCCTGGCTGTCTCTCCTCAATCTCTCTCCTGGCTGTCTCTCCTCAATCTCTCTCCTGGCTGTCTCTCCTCAATCTCTCTCCTGGCTGTCTCTCCTCAATCTCTCTCCTGGCTGTCTCTCCTCAATCTCTCTCCTGGCTGTCTCTCCTCAATCTCTCTCCTGGCTGTCTCTCCTCAATCTCTCTCCTGGCTGTCTCTCCTCAATCTCTCTCCTGGCTGTCTCTCCTCACTCTCTCTCCTGGCTGTCCCTCCTCACTCTCTCCTAGCTGTCTCTCCTTGCTCTTCCCTGTAGGTTCTCCCCCAAAAATTGCAATGCAGCTCTAGAGTGTTTGGGTTTTGCTTGAAGAAAAGGCGGCAACCCTTTTGGCACCGTTCTGTTTACTATGCCATCAGCATTGCATAGTGTTGCTCCGCCCCTGCGGTACGCCACATGGCGGGCTGTGGGGGGGGGGGGGGGCGGAGA